TACCTTACAACTTTCTGATGCTAAACTCGTGCAGGGTTGCTCGTTGCGGATTCTTGTGTCTTTCTCTTAGAAGAGCTTAGATACCTGTAAGTAAGTGATCTTGGGTCGTGCCCTCAAATGAGCAGCCTTGGCTTTGTTGCCCCTTTTTTATTTGCTTTTTCAACTTGTGAAGGAGTAGTAGCTAAAGTCGGACTCGAAATGAGCCATGTCTCAGACGCATCAGTTGCTAGCTGGCCTCACAAAAAGGGTTTTGATCTGTTGCTCAGTTGTGATTTATGATGAGTTGTTTTTTGTATTGTGAAGGAATAAAGGATTGTTGTGAATACGCTGCAGGTTGGGGATGTGCCTATCGCAGCTTGCAGTCCATTTGGAGTTGGTTCATCCTCAATGGATTCACAGATAAGCCTGTGCCCACACACGTGGAAATCCAGCGGGTAACGATCATTTATATTTGTACACTTATTTACTTTCATTTTTTCCGAATCTACGATTATTTTGAGTGACTCAGCCGTTTTAACAATGTAGTTAGACGTTCCCCATGTAATGGGGTTTTTCGTGGACTTTATTTCCAAAAAAAGCTAACAAACTACAGCGTTCAGCAGTTGTACCGAAACAACTTCAGAATTTTCTTTTTTGTTCTATCCAAGTCGTACGGGTTTGAGGATGTTTCGATCGCCATATTCGGTTTTTTATGGGTATTGAAAACAGGAAAAAGATTGCCACTTTCAGTGCCTGGTGGAAATTGGTGATAAGGAAGAGAAGTTTGTGGGCAGTCGACAATGGATAGGTAGTACCGAGATCGGCTTCGTCCTTGACCATTTGCTAGGTAAATGAACAATTCTTACTCGACTTTTCTATGCTGACAGTATCTTTAGTTCATTGTTCTTGCAGGGATCCAGTCACGTTTTATTGTCACCAATTCTGGAGCCGAAGTGGCTGAACGAGCACGCGAACTCGCAGTGCATTTCCAGACGGTTGGCACTCCAGTGATGATCGGTGAGTAGAGGAGCCTGTGAGGAGGCCAAAAGTCCTCGCATTCGTTTGCTCGACTTTTTCTTTCGCTAGTTTGTAGCAAAACCAAAGACAGCTCCCGCGATAAAAGTGTCATGGATAGTTGCTTTTCAATTATGAAACAGTAGCTGATAAGTAATTCCCCAAAGAAGAAAAAAAGCAAGAAGAGTCCTCAAGAACACTATAAACAAAATCGCTCCCTGGCAGTCACACCTTCCTGCGGTCTCTGCAACCCCTAGCTCACAATTTCCTTTATCACATCTCCCAGTAGTGTATCATCCAATGCAATGAAAAGAATACGAAAAACAACAGAAACACGGAAGAAAAACTTTTGAAAAGGAAAAGAAATTTCAAAAACTTAGGCGTCTAAATTTACAGTCTCAGGGCACTTGTCAACCGCGGAGCCTCTCTTCTCTTTCCTTTTTTCTTCCTCCACCTTCTTTTCCTTCCTTCCTTTTCTGTTCCTTCCTTCTTGATCTTCTCCCTTCAACTACTGGGCTAGTGGATGCGGGTTACAGGGCTGTTGTCAACCGAACATGCTGTCGCTGCGAGGGTCCAGAGGTATTTTCTCATCGCGTCTACTGGCCCAGCAGTGGAAGGGAGAAGGAAAGGGAAGAGGGAAGAGAGAAGGAAGGGAGGAAAAGAAGAAGGAGGAAGGAAAAAGGAAAGAGGAGAAAAGCTTCGCAATTGACAAATATCCTGAGACGAGTTGATGCGATGAGAAAATATCTCTGAACCCTCGCAACGAGAGCATGTCCGGTTGACAACAGCCCTGTGACCCTGAATTTAGGGATACGGTAGCGTGCATCTTTTAGTGTAGTGTGGTGCGTCGAGCTTTTGCACCACGAAAATTGGGTCGCTCGTGATTTTTACGCGTTTTACCTTGCAAGATGGGTTGGAGTTGACTGTGTGCTCCTAATGAATAAAATGTAATAAAGGAGAGCAGAATTATTCATGGCACGAGCGCGGTCAGCAAAAAGGGCATGCATTCCGATTAATGCCCGCCGCCCCAACAAAGAACAACTGAGCGGCTCTCCGTCAGAGGGCATCTAGCAAGTGGGCGGTCCAACTGGGCGGGCGTTAGAACTAGAACTTTCAGCAGCTGTAGCTCGCTCCTCGCTCGCTGTGGAGTAGCGAGAGTGGGACAGTCTCTAGCTTGGGGGGGGGAGGGTTGTACTATTAGGTTGTCCGGAAAGTTCTCAGCGTTTTGTGCACCTATTTTTTGTACATTCACTGCTGATTAAAAACTCATTCTGCCTTGCTTCTCAGTAGCACATCCTGTAGAGAATTTCTTGCGCTATCTGATGGTATAATTGCCGTTTCACCATTGCTTGATAAACCCCCTTTTTTCAAGATTTTTTCAAGCATGTGAAAAGAGCACTTCGGACGATTTTTTTCTTCGACTATAAATTGGGGCAATCCGCAATCGAAACAGCTCAACAAATTAACCAGGTGTGGGGGCCCAATAGTGCTAGAGAAAGCACTGTGCGGCAATGGCTCAACAAATTTCATAGCGGTCGACCTAAAGCAATATCTGACGAGGATTTTAGGGGGATTTTGGAGGCTGACCCATCCCAAACAGTTCGAGAGATAGCTAGGCCTTGGCAAATCCACTGTTGCAGATGGTCTGGAACGCATTGGGAAGGTGAAAAAACTCGACAATTGGGTGCCCCACAATCGGAGTGACCGGCAGGAATCGGCACGTCTCGAGGTTCCTTCTGCATTGCTTTTGCGCAGCAGAAACGACCTGTTTTTGGACCGAATTGTCACCTGTGATGAAAAATGGGTCATGTATGATAACAGGAGACGTTCTGAATAGTGGTTGGAGTTCGACGAACCACCGAG